TTAAAGGACAAAAGCGTCACTTAACTAATTACCTTCACCCTGCTTAGCTGAAAAGAGAGCATGGCCTGATGATAAAAGGCTCCAAATTTGAAAAAAAAAAAATTTATCGTCAAAATGTTTGTTATTATTAAGAGTTAAGACCAAAGTATTTTTTTATTATTTTATTAAATTTTTTTCGTCCTTTCTCGTACGTTCGAAATTTTAAAAAAAAAAAAAATAATTAAAAGAGAAGACTCAAACTCGTGTATTTTAGTTTTTTGCTAAACATTCTTCTTTTCCAATAGCATTATTTTTTTTAATTTTTTGCAAAATTAAAAAATCTTGTTTTTTTGTTTGTTTGTTTTTTTTTGGGGGGGGGGGTATTTTTTTGCGTCAACATAATATTTATGATTAGGGTTTTCGTACCTTTTTTCCGGCATATTGATTTGGAAATTCCTGCAAAAATTAAATAATTGTCGGATTTTAACGAAACTTTCAGGACTTATTCACAAATGAATGAAATTATTTTTGAATTTTTTTCGTTTATATATCGGATCAGATTTCCTATATTTTTCAACCGATTTCAACAAAACTTCATAGGACTACGTAAAATTACCTTGCGGTGGTTCTAACAGCGCCAAAAATTGGAAAAACAATTGTTTTTGCACGAAATCAATTTGAAAACACGATTAAGAGACATCGCGAGAATGAAAGGGGGACAACTCATATCGAGTTATACTTATTGTAAAACACAGGTTGTTTCTCTCTCTCTCTCTCTCTGTGTGTGTGTGTGTGTGTGTGTGTGTGTGTGTTCGTTTATATATGGGATCGGTTTTCCTACATTTTTCAACCGATTTCAACAAAACTTCACTTTTTGGCAGGTAGTGTTTCTTATTGTCTTGTACACTTTTTTCTTTATTTTTACATTCAGAATGCTTTAAAAATTCCATTTACAAGACAATTGTTTATAATAAAATTCTATTCAATCGGTAGACTCATAACGATTGAAAACAATTAAAAAAAAACTAATTAAGACATGCGTGTCCGTCAACCTTAAAGAATAATCTCTGTCAATTTTATTTTTCAGTCTTTATGATGGTCGATACTTGATCTATCTCTTACTGTTACATCCCCGGACTCTACTGTTAGTCATCAAATAAAAAAATAAAATAAACTTATGACATTACCTAATGAGAAAAGCTTTTATAAATAAGTTTTATTAAGGATACTATTGTGTTCAGAAAAACAAATTTTTCGATGAATAATGAGTTTTTAATAGAATTCTTTTCATTTTTTTAAATTTTTAATTATAATAATTTATAAAATTCTAAATCGTTTAAAATTCTACATTACTTGAATCCGGTTTGGTGACATTGCTATTAAGTAAAAACTATATTTACGAATCAAAAAGTGAAAAGCTCAATAAAAGTCGTTTACAACTAATTTTTTTTTTTAATTTAAATTTATTTTATGTATATATGAAATATTACGTAACGTGTTCCTGTTTGAAAGTATGGTTGACCACACACGACATAATCAGAAAATAAGAGCGATGACTATAGTATATTTAAATTCAACTTTTCTAACTTTTCTAAATTTAGATTACGGAGAATATTTTCCAACATTTTTAAGATTACTGAGTACTTTAAAATTATTTACATTATTCGGACTATTCTCCTCATGTTTGTCGCCATATTTATTACAACGTTTCGTACGCTCCGACCTTCTTCAGGTGGTTGGAATGTCGAACTAAACCCTTTATTTTGCTCACTGGAGTAGACTGTTCTAGTTCCACGTGCCATGTTTAATGGATGTCAGTTATCAGCTATCTCCTGTTAATTCCCCTCTCCATGTTGTCCACTGCCTTAACTAGGTATTGAACTCACATTCTTTGGGTCCTGTCAGTGGATCTAACCAACGCCTTTATCCACTGTGCTTTAAAATTATATAAAAAACACCCCCACCTGTCATTTTCTTTAAATTAGGTTTCAATAGATAAAGTCTCCGTAAAACAGCAGTAAAGGTGTTGACAGATTTTATCATCACTTGTTAAGTGATGCACAAGTGGAAAGCGACGGTGATAAGCGTGTAATCACCGCTACCGTTTGTTTTGAAAATCCGTCTCTCTGTGATTTTAAAATGAAAGTAAATAATATTTTTTTCAAATCAAATTAATTATACATTAAATCAGCTAATATTCCTCAAATAAAGTTTCAGAAAAGTATTTTTTTTTATTTTTCGAAGATATTCAAAACCGAGAATAAACATTTATTTACAAATGTGTCAAAATAGCCGATATTCATCGATTTATATCAATTTTCTGAAAGCGACCAAAAAATTTGAGATTCTAATCAATATAATTTATATTTGAAATACGCCAGATTATTTTGCTCAATGGAAATAGTAAATTTAATCATTTAGCTTTTAACTAAAGCTAAAAACCTTAAGTATGAAAACTAAGTTGACGGTACTTACTTTTAACCAAAATTCATAACACTATTAAGAAGGAAAGTAATAATACAGAAGACGAGAATTAGAACCTCCAGACATTTGTAGTCATTTTGCTATGGTGTGTATTCTTCCACTGCTAAATCTGTTGTACACCCTTGTACAAATTAATTGTAACAACCGCTTTAGTTTCCGTATGGTTAGATCAGGCCCAAACACTATTGTCTCGACTGTCGATTAGTTGTCCTACGGCCATTGTCTGCGATGGACATTACTGCAAGGAAGCGTTCGAAAATTATAACGCTGCATGAAAACACTGGTAAGCCTTACCAGTGAGCAAATCAAAGTATTATAGACTGGCTTGGAAACTCTCCTGATTTAAATCCAATCGAGAATCTGTGATCAATCTGCAAGGAACGACTTCGTGGAATCGACATACGAAGTATTAACATGTGCACGGGGTTATGTTTGAAAAATACAAATAGATAAATAATAGCGGAATTATTCGTTTTGTTTCAATTACTTTGCACAAGGGTTTACTTAAAAAAAACAGACATTATCTATTGGTTTGGTTTGGTTTGGTTTATTTTGTTTTACGGCATATCAACCTCAATGGGTTATTTAATGCTGACAAAATTTTTTATTGCTGGTAATATTTTTTTTTGTCAAAAATCTGTTTCTGGTAATATATTTCCTTTAATATTGTATTGCTGGTAATATTTTTTTTCAAAAAGGTATTGCTGGTAATAGTTAACTATTTGCCCATAGCTGGGACCCTAACAGGTGCTACCACCCCGGCTCAGGGTGGACCTGGGAACACCAGCAACTAAGAGTTGGTTCCACGCTCCCCAAAACCTCCTGATCAGAGGCGTTGCTGCTGGACGTAGTTTAACGTCTTAACCCAGGGCGTGGATGTAGTTTAACGTCTCACCCAGGACGTTTATCTATTGGTAAGCCCTTGTTTTACAACTGAGAAGGAAAGAGACTAGTTTCTGAATCCTGGGATATTTGTGGTCTCTTTACTCCTAATATTAAATCCGTTGCAATTTAAAAAAAAAAATAATAAAACATTACTTTCGACGGACTAACTTGATTCCAATGTAAAAGAGGCATTTTTCAGTGCGTCAAAGTCGAGTGTTAGACAAGGTCGAGGTTTCAAGTGGGTTTCACGTCAATACCGTGGAAAAATTACTCAAACCGCCCCTGAACTTTTTTTTTTTTTTTTTTTTTTTTTTTTTGACGAAACAGTTACAATAGTTTATATACTTTTCCCCCTGATTATGTCATTTGCAGTGGTATGCAGTAATATGAATCAATTTTCGGGGAGTATGATGAAATGTTTTTGGCCTTGAAAAATATTGCGACAGATTTTTATCACGCCGATACACTATTGTCTCGACTGTCGATTAGTTGTCCTACGGCAATTGTCTACGACGGACGTTACTCCGAGGAAGCGTACGAAAATTGTAGCATTGCACGAACACACTGGCAAGCCTTACCAGTGAGCAAATCTAAGTTCTGGCCCGGAAACTCTCCTGATTTAAATCCAACAGAGAATCTGTCAATCTGCAAGGAATGACTTAATTTGCACAAGGGTGTAATTAAAGAAAAACAGATATTGCCTATTAGTATACCCTTGTTCTACAATTGAGAAGGAAGCAGACAAGCTTCTGAATCCTGGGACATTTGTGGTCTCTTTACTCCTAACATCCGTTGCAAATAAAAAATAAAAAACATTACTTCCGATGGACTAAATCGGTTCCAGTATAAAGAGGGATTTTTTAGTGCGTCAAAATCGCTACCGATTGTTAGACAAGATTGAGGATTGAAGTGGGCAATGCCGTGAAAATGTTGGTTGATTTTGTTTCGCAGCATATCAAGCTCTGTGGATTATTTAAAATTAGAATATCTTGAACATATTTTGAACATTTTTACTATAAAAAAATATATTTATACTTTCATAGTGTTTTGATTTTGTTTGGGGTGCACTATTTGCTCATAGCCGCGACCCGAACAGGCGCTACAACCCCGGAGCAGGGTGGACCTGCGAACAACAACAATTAAGAGGTAATTCCATGCTCCTCAAAACCTCCAATCTTCCGATCAGAGGCGTTACTGTCATATCAAGAATTACTTTTGGGAACGTCTCAGGCGCCAGATAATAAACCCAGCACAATGCCGATGGAGAGGTACTGCCTGAGTGAGGGGATGGCCTCTTGGGAACTTGAGTATATTAATTTCAAACTTCCTCAGCCGATGCCGGAGATATATGAGGAATTTTCAATGTGGCCTCGTCGCTACTGAATATGACACATGGTCGAGGTTTAAAGTGGGTTTCACAGCAATCGGGTAGAAAAATTGCTCAACTCCCCTCGGTAATTCCTCTTTGAGGAAAGCCTCAGGCGCCGGGTAGTGACTACTCTAGCACACTCCCGAGGGTGAGGTACTGCCTGAAGAGCATTATCCCCCACCCTGGTGCTTGGGCTAATGTTATTCTCAAACTACCCCAGCCAGTGCCGGGGTTGTATGGAGCTCCAAATTAAAGTTTGCTATGGTGTTCCTTGTGGGAAGGCTTACGGTCATATCACATAGAAATACCGATGCACATATGATCACCAAAGTTAAGCAACGTTTAACCTCGTCAGTACCTAGGTGGGTGACCGCATCGGAATATCACGTGCTGTAAGCTTAGATATGCGATTGATGTAATGAATGATGGCACGGAATCGTTAATCGGGGAACCGTATTGGGTTCATTATATTCACTTACGTGCAAATACCTTTACAACAGGTATGAACCCACCTATTATCCCCCCAGCTATGGGTTAATTATTAAAACTTGTAAATAATCTGCAATGGGTTGATAAACCGTAAAAAACGAATCAATCAATCAAATATTGGCTTGCTACACAGATATTATCTTTTTGATTTGTTTACATTCTGTGGAATATATATATATATATATATATATATATATATATATATATATATATATATATATAAATAAACCGTAGCGATAAAGTGAGGGATCACTTTATATATTGATTGTAAAATAAAATTGATCCCCCACTTTATAGCCACGTTATAATTTATTGCCGGCATGTCTTTTAGATTTATTTACATTATCTGGAATATAAATGTATAGAAACTACCGTGGACATAAATTGAGGGACCATTTTATATACTGGTTGTAATATAAAATTAATCCCCCACTTTATTTCCACATTATGATTTCTTGTTCGTTTACCAAATACTATTAGGTATGAATCAACTTCTTTTCCCTTTCCCCCCAGATATGGGTTAATTAGTTGGTATCACTAAATCTTAATTATCTCCCAAAATAGTCCTTACAACCTGAAAATATTTTCTGGCTTTAAACAGGCTGCAAAGGGTTGATAAGCCATAAAAAATAAATGAATCAATCACTTGAGACGCAGAATTACGATGACCGGCGCCAACACTGTCGATAAAGTCAAGGTCATTTACATCGCGAAAACTTCAAATTGCTCATCCCTTCTTCGTTGGCGTCTCCCGTTTTTATTTTTGGCCAACAAAGGTTGCAACGAAACGCTAATCTTTACAAATTCCGATCGATAGTTTACTGCTATTATCAAGCTCTTTCTCGATCGTCAGCGTACAATGAATCCATTGTTAGTTCATCGGACTGGAGGTCACAAGGTCGACTGTTCAATTCAGTGGAGCCAATAAAAAGCGACACTTGTGCAATTACCTTGACAATAGATATTTATTCTCTTTGTGTCTTACTCATGGCAGAGACCCGAGATTGAAAATCCGAAAAATCCTATCGATTGCTGGTTGCTTCATATATAGCTTCTTACAAAAATGCTTTCAATTCTACAGCGTTATTTATATGCGCAGTTTAATATCTATTTTAAAATTGACGTAACTATTGTTAATGAACAGGGATATCCGGCATTGTCCGGGATTCATTTCAGTGTAAAATTCATATTTCGAAATCTGATTGTCTTTGAAAGAAATAAATAAAAACTCGAAATCGATCTTTTTCTTGTCCCCGAAATAACTTTGTAATTGATTATATTATAAGTAAATATTTTGTACTAAGTAGTTCATGCTTTTAGCACTGATCCAGCCTCATGCTTAAGATATATATATATATATATATATATATATATATATATATATATATATATATATATATATATGAGACAATTGGCAAATGGAAAATCGTTTCATTGAAACTAGATTTGATTACCCATTCCGCCTTTTCTAAGTTTCATCAGATCCAAAAACGAAAGAAAAAATGTATGTGCGTGTGTGTTTAAATAATGTATGTGTATGTGTGTGTATTTTTAAATAATGTATGTGTATGTGTGTGTGTTTTTAAATAATGTATGTACATGTGAGTGTATTTTTAAATAATGTATGTGTGTGTATTTTTAAATAATGTATATGCATGGGTGTGTATTTTTCAGTAATATATGTGTATGTGTGTGTATTTTAAATGATGTATGTGTATGTGTGTGTATTTTAAATAATGTATGTGTATGCGTGTGTATTTTTAAGTGATGCATGTGTAAGCGTGTGTAATTTTAAATAATGTATGTGAATGCGTGTGTGTTTTTAAATAATGTATGTGTATGTGGGTGTGTTTTTAAATAATGTATGTGTATGTGTATGTATTTTAAGTGATGTATGTGTATGTGTGGGTATTTTTAAATAATGAAACATTAGTACTTTTAAGTATTCGTATTCGAAGTATGATGGTCAAGCAGCTCAGTTACTAATAACTGACAGCCCAGACACCAGCACAGATGATTTGATTATAGTGGTGAAGGTTTCGTGCAGAACCAACCACACTTTTTGTGGGGCGGAATACAGAGACCTGGTGCACTACGTGCCACAAGGTCCCCAAACGACCCTCCGCAGGTTTTGAATTCAGAGTTGTCCTTCTCCTAGACTAGTTGCCATCCAAGGCTATAGAATCCAGTCTGTCCTGCTATTTTACCCATAGCTGGAGGGAGAGGATCTCATACCTTTCACAGGGGTATTAGCACGTAAGAATGTCATGGATGCGACTGGAATTGAAACTCAGCTCGGATTCCTTAATCGAAGCCTCTATCCATTACTCCACCGAACCTCATAATCGACTCTCCCGTCGGGTTCGACGTATGAGGCTCAAGCAGATCAGTTTCCAGGAAACTGGCAGCCCGACACCGGCACATGAGATTTGATTATAGTGGTGAAGGCCTCGTGCAGGACCATCCACACTTTTTTGAAGGGACGAATACAGAGACCTGGTGCACCGAATGCCACAAGGTTTCCAAAAGACCCTCCACAGGTCTTGAATTCAGAGTGTCCTTCTCCTAGACCAGTTGCCATCCAAGGCTATAGAACCCAGTCTGTCCTGCTATTTTACCCATAGCTGGAGGGAGAACAAGAAGATTCATACCTTTCTCAAGGGTATTAGCATGTAAGTGAATGTAATGGATTCGGCAGGAATTCGCTCTGCAATTCCTCAATCCAAGCCGCTATCCATTACCCCACTGTGCCTCCTATATATATATATATATATATATATATATATATATATATGTGTGTGTGTGTGTGTGTGTGTGTGTGTGTGTGTGTGTGTGTGTGTGTGTATTGATATAATAGGAAAGAACTGTTCGATTGATGATCTGAAGTTCTTTAGTATTTTGTTTTTTTATATATATATATATATATATATATATATATATATATATATATATATGAATGATAATTGAAAATAACTCCATATTTTATGTATGATGAACTCTATTGTCTAACTATAATTTTAACAAGACGGGAGTGTCTATCATACCTAAAATAGGGAATTATACATTCATTTATACATACATCTCTCTCTCTCTCTCTCTCTCTCTCTCTCTCTCAATATATATATATATATATATATATATATATATACATATATAGTTTGGTTAAATAATATCAACAAGTTTCTCTACAAATTATTTATTTAGACTAAGATTGTCCGTTGAAATGACGACTCTTTGAGTGACATGAAATTGGTTCCATCAAACGTGAGGAATCCGGAATTGAACGAAAACAGTTGCGTATATATACACAGAACGATCCTTGAAATATAATGTAACAACATTCGAATGTACTCTGGGAGAAAATGAGTTAAAATAAAAATAAATAAGAACTTCGACAAATTTACAGATAATAAAAAACACCTAATTCGGAAATTTGATACATTTTATATACATATATGCTACTGAATCATAATTCAGTTAAACGAGGGTTAATGTTAATTTTTATATATATATATATATATATATATATATATATATATATATATATATATATATATATGTAATTACTTATTTAAAAATATGATTCCAACACGCTACACAAGAGTTCTCATGTTTCAAAAACGAGAGCCGAAAACTTAAATATAATTTTTTTGAATTAAATTGAATTAAAGTACTGAGCTCTGTTCCGTCTTCAAGCGAAATTTTTGGGAATCCTAACGAGTTCTTTCCCATTTTCTATATATTTTTACATACACACACACACACATATATATATATATATATATATATATATATATATATATATATATATATATATATAGTTTATTAAGGCAGAAGACCATTATTCAAACTTATATTGTTAAATATAATAGACAACGAATGTCTGTTATCTTTGATCATGAATCGTTCTAAATTTCGTATTGTTGTTTTAGTTTCGGGTGAAAATAAAGACAAAAATTGTCCAACATTTGGATATTTTTATTAAGCTGGCCCTAGATCTAAGCTTTCGCTCACGTCAGCCATCTTCAGAGTTGTTAAGCGGACATTTAAACAAAGATATTCACCATTAAAGATGATATTCTGTTACGTTGACATAGAAAATTTATATATATATATATAATATTTATATATATATATATATATATATATATATATATATATATATATAGATAGATAGATAGATAGATAGATATATGCAAATATATAGAAAAATGGGGAAGAACACGGAATTTGGTAAATAATCCGAAGTTCTTTAGCATTTTTGTTTTTATTTTTGAAAAACAGTGCTCAATACAAAAGTAGCGCTTAAATTATAATTATTTTTTTAAAAATATGATTCCTTCGCTACATAAAAGTTCTCATGTTTCAAAAACAAGAGCTTAAAACTTCAATATAAAAATTAAAATTAAATTGAATTAAAGAATCAAGTTCTGTTTCATCTTCAAGCGTAATATTTGGAATAAAAAAAACTTCTCTTGAGGATGAATAAGAACTTGATTCTTTAATTCAATTTAATTTTAATAATTATATTGAAGTTTTTGGCTCCTGTTTTTGAAACATTAGACCTCTTATGTAGCGAAGGAATCATATTTTTTAAAATAAATATATATATATATATATATATATATATATATATATATATATATATATATATATATCATTTACTAGCACTCGGTGAAAAATAATATAAAATACAAATTAATATGAATTTTGGTAAATTTACAAATAACACAAAACAATTAATTCGGAAATTTGGAAAGTTTAATAAACAAATTGATAAAAATAACTTGTCAATACTATTTAAACAAACAAGTTTGAATACACACTTTTTCATGTCACCAATTTACAATCAAAGATGTAAAATCCAGGTGCTTGATGTCGATGTAACCTGAGTCTTTCACTCCAACA